TATATATATATTAGTCAGAAATAGCTAAACGAGCCAGGTCAAACAGAGGTCATGGGGACATAGACCTTATCTGCCAGAATAAGCCACGCCACTGAACCATGCCGCACCACATTAACGCTGAAGTGGTCGTTGTCGTATCAGGTACTACAGATATGTACCAGAGGTACATATATGTATACACAAAGTGTACCAGACTTGTACTACAGACGTGTACCCTAACCCTAACCCTAACCCTAACCCTAGCCTTAACCCTAACCCTAAACATACCTTATATAAAAATATAAACATAATACTAAACAACCTAAAACTACCTAGTGTACATATCTGTAGTACCTGATACGACAACGACCCCATCTGCCACATTAACCCACCATAATACTCACCTAACCCCCTCCACCCCACGCTACATCACATCACGCGCCACGCACCACCCTAACACATAAGACCCCAGCCTGCCCCACTTCACAGCACACCACACACGTGGACATGCAGGCACACGTACACGCACACGTATTCACAGAGAGCAGTGGTAGATGAATTTTACATGTACATAAATTTAATGAATCGCCATCTGTTGTTTACCCACAAAAATTACTGACTTTTCGTGTAAAAAAACACAACCCCGTGATTAAGGAATAACGAAAGTGAGTTCAGGTTAGTGTTTCATATCATGCTATTTTTTAAAATTTCTGCTAATGTGGAGAATATCGAATAACTTCGAAACCTAACATCATTCATTACAATTGCGCTGAACTCTACGATATGCGATAAAGCAAATTTGTACTTATCTGTCGTTGATTAGCTCAGCAACGCCGCTCAGGGAACTGTTCAGCAACGGACAGTCTCTGCATCCCTCCACATCCTTGAAAAATTGAAAAATTTATAGTGGAATATTTAATTAATTAATCATAAACAATTATGGGTATTCTTAAGCAATAAGCAACTATTATGATTTTTATGATTTTATATCCTTTAGTGAATCTGTTATTCATTGTAATATGAGAGCCTACTTCTGCCAATGGCCCTAAGATAACGCGAGAGTGCGAGACTGAGAATACGTGCGAGAGAAAGAGAAGATAACAAGAAAGGGAGAAGAGAGAAAGAGAGCGAGCTGAAGACAGCGTGTGCGCGCGCTGGAAGCACGCATGCGAGAGAGAGAGAGAGAGAGAGAGAGAGAGAGAGAGAAGAAGAGAGAGAGAGAGAGAGAGAGAGAGAGAGAGAGAGAGAGATGAGAGAGAGAGGAGAGAGAGGGTCAACAGAGAACTAGATGCGAGAAAATTGGAGAGAAAATTTAAGAGCGAGATCGCGAGAGAGAAAAATGAGAGAGCAGGAAGAGAGCGATGAAGAAAAACGTGGTGGCCGCGGGTGTGTGAATGTTTGGGGGGAGGGAGAGGGAAATCGAGAAAGAGAAAATGGGATAAGAGCGCGGCGAGAGAAGAGAAGAGACATATAAAAGGAGAGAGAAGAGAGAGAGGATTGAGATAAAGAGAAGAGAGCGCGGGCGCCGAAAGAGACGAAAGAGCAAGGAGACAAAAAGAGAGACGAGATGGAGAGAGAGAGTGGCGAAAGAAAAGGGGAGAAGAGAGAGAGAAGGAGAGTGCGAAAGAAAAGAGATGAGATTACAAGAACGGGCGTGAGAGTTTATATGTATTTTTGTATTATATATTATATGATTATTATATACTAGCTGGACCATGTGTGAGAAAGCGAGAGAGGTATCTGTGGGCTAGGTGGAATGTCAAACACTTTCGAAAGATACAACCAAGGTTCATCAAGTAATGAATAATGACGCGCCCGCCATGCATCAGATCGTAAGCCCCGCGGCTCATCGTCGGTAATTGGAGCTAGCTAGCTGTCCTCTTGATTTACTACAGGAATGTCGGATACACTGTGTTTACACCAAAAAAAACCAGTTCATTCCCTTAATTCATCGTTGATGACACCGAACACTTGTAAAACTCAAGCGCACTTCGTTTCTGGAAAAAAACGGCATCAAGAGTTTGCGCCCTCGACCCGACGCGAATCTACCCGACGTTCACCCGGCCCCCGGCCGTTCGACTCACGGCCAGCGAAGAGTGAGAGAGCGATTGATGGCTGCGCGACCTCCCTATACGCCGTGCCACGTGGATATGCACGTGACCCATCCACCCCTGAAACGGAGGAGAGAAGCGCATAGATTTCAGTTCCGGTTCCCGCGTTGCAAGAGAGAGTTTATTATACTACACTCAGTACTAAGTAGATCACATGCCTTTTCGTTTTACGCCGCGTTTGTTTACCCACGTCGGTGAGTGCACAGATGCTCTACTGACCTGCGCTCGCAGACTCGTGTCTAACCCCCGACTGCCGGTATGTCTGGTAGGCCGGTGAAGATAAATGCGGCGAGCGTGCGCCGTGTGTGCGTGTGTAGCGCGTGGCGTGTGCGTGCGTGCCGTGCGTGTTGTGTGTGCTGTGGTGTGTGCGTGTGTGTAGGCGCGCCCGCCACCAGCGGGTCGTGTGTAGTGTGTGTGTGTGTGTGTGTGTGTGTGTGTGTGGCTGCGTGCTCGTGCGTGCGTGCGTGCGTGTGTGTGGTCTGGGGTGTGATGGTCTGTGTGTGTGTGGTCCTGTGTGTGTGTCTCTGTGTGATGTGTCTCTGTGTGTCTCTGTGTGTGTGTGTGTGTGTGTGTGTGTGTGTGTGTGTGTCTGTGTGTGTGTGTGTGTGTGTGTGTGTGTGTGTGTGTGGTGTGTTATGTGTGTAGTGTTGTGTGTGTGTGTGTGTGTCGTGTGTGCTGGCCGTGTGTGCGTGTGTGTGGCGTGCGTCGCGTTGCGTGCGTGCGTGTGTCTTTGTGTGCGGTGTGTGTGGTGTGGCAGCGCCAGCGCGCGCGCGTGTGTGTGTGTGTGGGTGTGTGTTGGGTGTGTGGTGTGTGTGTGTGTGGTGGTTGTGTGTGTGCGTGTGTGTAGTGTGTGAGTTAATACGAAGTGATGAGTGTTCATAGGTGTGTGAGTGTGTGAGTGTGTGTGTGTGTGTGTGTGTGTGTGTGTGTGTGTGTGTGTGGTGTGTGGTGTGGTGTCTGTGCGTGTGTCTGCGTGTGTGTTGTCGGTGTGTGTGGTGTGTGTTCGATGTGTGTGTGTGTTTGTTGTGTGTGTGTCCGGTGTTGTGTGTGTGTGTGTGGTGTCGTGTTGTGTATGTGTGGTCGTGTAGTGTGGTTATGTGTGTGTGTGTGTGTGTGCTGGTGTGTGTGTACGTGTGCCTGGTGTGTGTGTGTGTGTGTGTGTGTGTGTGTGCATGTATATCCACAGACGCGATGAGACCGGTAAATCTCAACAATTTATCGACACCGTCGCACGAGTGCTTTCGAAACGAGTAGCATTCGTTTCCAGAGATGTGACTGTATGACTCAGAGACTATCTAACTAGAGATCTATACAATTTAAAATTCATAGTCATGTTTGTGAAAAGAAGGGGAATTTTCTGTCGTCATGCCTCGTAATTTACTATGTCGTATCATAAAATAATCACGTTTTCAGAATAAAATTTTCTTTTGTAATACTACTGTGCTCCACGAACAATCTCTACGTGGAGGTATTACCACGGTGAAAGTTCTTTATTGTAATCGTTTACGAATATTATTAGTTTTAATTCCTGAATATCCGGAGTCTGTAAGTTCCGTATAATCCTAGATGTGTGTAAAGTATTATTCACACAGGAGGAATAACAATATAGGTGCTCGACTGTAAGCAGTTCAGTGTACAGTTTCATCTATTGAAAAACAGTTAACTATCAATAAATATTACAATTTCATACATACGTATAATTCTCACATTCCCTACATTGTATAAATGAATTTGTGGCACACGGCGAATATTGCGTGCATGGTAGGTTAATCAGAAACGGGGCGGAATTATCTCACGCTTACTAATTACTAATTAGCACGTGTTGGAGGTGTGCGAGACAGCTTGCCCCTCAACCAATCAACGCTATCTGAAATTACAAAAGAAATGTAACGAGTAGGGTACTCGCTCTCCTCTGCGTTTCTCGCTAGGGGAGATCTTCGTTGTTATTTGCTTACGCTCTTTTTTAAGATTTAAACGTTAAACTTTCCGACTACTTTCACAGTGCAAAGAAAGATTTCGTGGATTAACGCTTCTCGTTTCGTGCGTGATTGAACCTAAGCGCTCAATTTTATGTAATAATTTTGGTAGCACTGTTCCATTGTTTCAGTCATTTAAGTAAATATAGAAACATTACGTGCCTTAGCTGGTGTTATTTCTCACGCCGGGCGATTACTTTATTTGGTAGCCTGTTCTGATTTCAGTTTATAACTCTACAAATAAATTATTGTTCTCTGCTATTTTTGATTTTTTTTTCAAATCTCAAAGCTTTAAATTTCTTTAAATTTCCTCAGCAGCGTCTAATTTTCCGTAGAAGTAAAAGCGCTGGCGCCGAATTTGGTTTCCATATTACCCGTGCAGCATTCTTAGGTTCATGTGACTGTAGCTCCTCAATTATTGCCCTCCTCTACTCCCATGTCTTTGTCCAACTTCTCGCCTTTCTTCCGTGATTCTGTCGCTTCATCCCCACCCCATCTTTCTCTCTTGCCCCACATACACCTCAATTTACCACATTTCTCTCTCTCTCTCTCTCTCTCTCTCATCGTCTTTCCCTCCTTCGCTCGTGCTCCTGCTCTGCGGCGTTATAAACCAAGGTTTACTGCTAGCTATCGGATGGTTTTACCTTCGAGAATTGCGAAGTAAATGCGAATTAATAGGAACAGTGTGATATATGTACTACAAGAAGCGAAATCTTAAAGATAAATCTGCAACATGCACGCAGATAGTTGTCGTTAATCTAATCAGCCATGTGTGTAGGCAAGAATATCACAAACAAAATATGTAGTCCAATCCAAAGTCATCGCAGATATTTGTTTAATTAGATATATTAAAACGAATGACAATTAGGCATGGAAACCATACTACGATTGGCCACAGTCAAAATACGAATGAACGGTATACGAATCTTGCAGCTTGCGCGCATGCTGCCCTCGGGACGTGAAGCTCCAAATGCTGATGGCTTCCCCTCGTATTTGTCATATGATGCCAGCAGAACAGGCTGGATATTGCTATTGATATGATAGCTGCCGTGTAAGCCGGCTCGATAGCCAGACCCACCGCAAGGGTGAATGTAACGCGACGAAATATCATAACTAGTGGCTGACACTGTAATCAAACGCACACGAACGCCACAGTCCATGCACGCGCGCACGCACATCTCGCCCTCACCAACGCACAGACACACACACACACACACACACACCACACCATCCACCACACACTACACACACATTTACTTTATGGCATCGAAGGATATATTTCCTTTGAATTGTCAATTATCCCATTTTATTTTTTGTGGTCACATTGGTTATTTTAACCAAACAATTTTTTTTTCAATTTTTTATCTTCAAAGTTTGTGGGCATCTAATGATCTAAACATTTCGAAACCAGTATATTTAAAGGTAGATATTAGATATGAAATACGTAATACATTATCGTTGTGATATATATATATAGTGAACATTCTAAGAAATAGCGAGATACTGCTAAAATGTCATGCGCTATGTCCGCAACGAACAAACAAATGAAATGTTTTGAATATTTTTTATTTTTTTTTTTAAACTAATCCGTTAGACATCGGTATTCGTTTTTGTCCACAATATGATAACATAATATATGCGAGAATAGCGCCAAGAAAAACAGCTGAAGTATCCAAGGAGCGTTTCGCAGCCGTATTATAGTCTATTTAGGTGCGGTCTGCGTGAGTGTACCGTGACTAGAACTACAATGGGATTACATAACTTCGCTCTTTTTGTTCTTATGTTGTTATCCTATTTATTCTTGTTTCTTATGGTGTTTTTTCACATCAATAATTTTATTTGTTTGTCATTCTTTTTTTCGTTGTTTTGTTTTATATCTTTTTGTTAATCTTTGATGTTGTATTTTATTGTTTTGCATTTTTGGTATTTTCGGATTTTTTTCCTTTGTTTTCTTTTGAGTGCCTCTTTTATATACCTACGCTATTGATAAGAATCTCATAGGGAGCATTGACGAACGAGTAAAGGTGCGTCCATGCAATAACATTTCTATAAATATTTCCCGTATTTGACTATAAAACGATTAGTGAAATGGGGGCAAATACTCGAGGTTTAATCACAACACATATTTTAATTAAAGCTAGGTTTAAACTATCCTATATTAAATATTCGCGACTCAATATAATTTCTATGAATAATATCTAAAAATGTGCTGCAACCCTCAACGATTGTTTGTTGTTTGCCCATAACGCCAGTGGCGCCACTATGTGCTTATATTATGCACTACTAAATTGTGCTACCCAACTTTCCAGCCGCAAACTAGACGCCGAGGGCGCTTCTTACATAATAATTTAAGCGAAGTAGGATTGCAATATCTATCATGCATGCCTATTTCCCATCAGGAATAACGAGCGCACCATCGCAGCTTATGGGGTCAGCCCGCAACAACACAATGCACGACTATTCATCGTGTTGTATTCCCTACAGTTCAACTATTACACCCGTCGCACACCAACACAGCTAACCACAGGTCGTCATGTCGATTTCCTGAACATTCTCTCGGATTGGCTCTTGACCGAGCCGAATGATCACTGTCGATCACGGATTCACCAACGACGTTAACAAAACACACACACACACACACAGTTATCACGTGTACGCAATTGATGTTGGCCACGAATACGCAACCTTCTCATCAGCGTGTGCCAGACTACCAGCGTTGTGTGCCTATATGCATCGTTTTATTACTCATACTGCGCTACATTAATTAGCTACGGGTGCAGGGTGATCGTACGTTAGAACTATATGGAAATTTTAGAATATACGTCTATAGACGAGGGAACCGTCTAGTCCCCACACAGCGTTCGATACTGAATTGACGCTGACTAGACTTAGGGATCCGTGAACAGACTCCCACGCTGTGCCCACTGGGTTGGAAACAGTTATACCTGTAGGAGAAATAGTATGCAATTATTGTTCAATTGTGGAGACAACATTTAGTTTTGTGATCCTCGAAAATCCGCGACGCTTTATATTGCCCTCATTATCAAGCAATAATATTATTGTTATATATAAAACCAGGAATAAATAACATTAGGTGAATATGACCGTGACATGCTAAAAGATAACAAGGAGAGACAACCGTAGTCTACCTATAATTTATTGTAGGCTGATGAATAAGCTTGAACCCGGAAGTCACCCTTTCCGCGAATAATCACAATCCAGAGAGATATATCTATATCTAGAGAAACTAATATATACACGGTTTGCATGTTGATTTTGCACGGATGCTCGTTTGCACAAACCGTTGCCCTGCTCAATAATAACCAAATGGCAGTGACACCTCCCGGCTACGATATTTTTACTAACACTCCAAGTGATTTTACTGTCTTTAGATTTTACCATATTTCAATACAACTATAGTCCTAAGCAACATATTACGTTAAAATGGGTGGAAATACCGGTGCGTTTGAAGATACTGTTGTTTTCATCCACGCCCCACACAACACGATCGCCGGAGGAAACCTGCTTCAGAGAGCCGTCCACCTGTTCCCAGCCAGTCCCTGCGCCGAAGTTGCCATCATTGTAATCAAATAGAAATGATATGAGGCAGCTAATTAACTAATAATTCCCCCCCAATAGAACATAAAATGAACTGTTGCGCAAACTGATGCGTCCGTAAGAGTTTTAGGATATAGAGCACGTATACCTTCACCTCCGACTCCGCTTCCTGTGCCGATCCTAAAGAATATTTCGTTTGTGGTGCTGACTACCCAGACCCCTGCCTGGCCAACGGACACCCACTTCGTCCAACCCTTCATGAAGATCCATGACGATCCGCGGGAGTAGTACGCCGATGGACCAATATGGTTGTACGTTTCGTTTGAGTTTCTGATGCACCACTTATCGTTATTAACTTGGTTAGCGCTAACGAGACTGGCTTCACCAGTCACTTGCACCCACTTCAATCCTGTTGGGTTATCGTCATTTATGCCTACAAGATTATGACATAAACATTTTCAGTTATGACGATTAAAGAAATTATCGTTGCATACGCAGCAGAAATGTTTCTCTGGAGGAGACACTTTCCGCGTTCAAAATAAGAAATACAATGAAAATTACATGCATACGTAAAGCATAATTAGAAACTATCCTAATCTCAAAATAAAATTGCCAAAACACGTACCACGCCGATACCACAGAGTATCATTGTCATAGGCGATGGCCCACACGATATTGTTCGCAGAGCTTACTTGTCTACAAGAACCATCAACTTTTTTCCACCTTCTTCCTTTAACGCTTCGATTGTTCTGTATATAACACAAAAATTATACCATGAAAATTGCGAATGAATTTGTTTTCCAAGAGGGCACTCGGCAGCAGTTGCTATTACTTATATACATTGCATATCGTCAGTGTGAAATAATACTGTTTTATGTTTCTTTATAAATAGACCAGAGTTTGTTGGTTGACGAATAGAGATATATGTAAATCATTCGTACCTGAAATTATTAAAATCTGAAAAGTAAGTACATCTGTGTTCTCCACTTCTGTCTGTAATTATGCATTCACCCAATATAACAATTATAACGATTAATTAATTTATAATAACGATCAGCACCTGTTATTACCCGCCGGCAGCTGATGGTACTACTACACATATGTACTATAATTACCTTCATAATCATCTACTTGTGATGATCACCAACCAATCTTTCCAGTATATTACGCTTAGATTATTCGGTTTATATTTTTTAGGTTATTATACGTCTTTCAATTTGAGATTTTTTGACTTTCAGAGTTAGATTATTATTCTTATTCTTCTTCTTCTTATTATTACTACTACTACTATTAGATGGGTACTACTTTCTATACACAGTAGATCCCGTCTGTACGATTACTGATGCTGCGAAAACGATTGCGATAGAATAATATATATATATATACCCTAACCATATTAAATGCATATTCATCACAAAATATAACTCCTCTGGTGAGATATTGCGCATGCGCTAACACACTAACGTAGCCAGATTGTGTACTGGCTGGTATATGCAGCGGGGACCGTACATGCAAGGTCTTCCTCTCATTTCTTAAGTGAAGTCTCCTGATGGAATGTTATCATATTAATCTATGCTTGTAACTCCTCTTCATTTTAAATGCATAATATTTGCAAAATGTCATTCTTCTCGCGAGATATTGCGCATGCGCGACCACCGTTTCAGGCGTGCAATACGGACTGAAGACAACTTCATAATATAGCTTGCTGAGGAAGAAAGGGAATGGGAGACTGAGGAAAGGCGGCAGGAAAGATAGCTGGCGGCGGTAGAAGAAGAAGGAGGCTGAGCGAGGGAGAGCGGAGGCAAGGGAAAGGACGCGAGGGCATAAAGTAGGTGTTTTGTTCCCTACAGGCTAGGGCGCTCTCCGAATTATAAACACAGGTCTACTGATAAAAATTTATTTGAGAAATCTATGCTTAGATACCCCCTATAACCATATTAAATGCATATTCATCGCAAAATATAACTGCTCTGGTGAGATATTGCGCATGCGCTAACACACTAACGTAGCCAGATTGTGTACTGGCTGGTCTACGCAGCGGGGACTTTACATGCAAGGTCTTCCTCCTATTTCTTAAGTAATGTCTACTGATGAAATATTATCATATAAATCTCTGCTAAGATGACTCCTCTTCATTTTAAATGCATAATCTTTGCAAAATATTATTCTTCTCGCGAGATATTGAGCATGCGCGACCACCGTTTCAGCTGTGGAATACCGACTGAAGACAACTTCATAATATAGCTTGCTGAGGAAGAAAGGGCATGGGAGACTGAGGAAAGGCGGCAGGGAAGATAGCTGGCGGCGGTAGAAGAAGAAGACGGGCTGAGTGAGGGACAGGGGAGGCAAGGGGAAGGACGCGAGGGCATAAAGTAGGTGTTTTGTTCCCTGCAGGCTAGGGCGCTCTCCGAATTATAAACACAGGTCTACGGATAACAATTTATTAGAGAAATCTATGCTTAGATACCCCTAACCATATTAAATGCATATTCATCGCAAAATATAACTGCTCTGGTGAGATATTGCGCATGCGCTAACACACTAACGTAGCCAGATTGTGTACTGCCTGGTATACGCAGCGGGCACCTTACATGTGTGACGGCGCGGGTGAATCGAGAGTCGGGGAAATAGCGATTCGGGAAGTAGAATTCGGGGATAGCGTTCGGGAGGTATAGTACCGAACACCGAACACCGAAATCACCGAACACCGAAATAACACGCTGGTAAACAGGAACAGCCAATCACGGGGCTCGGCCAGTGAGCGATCGATCGTGATCAACGGTGTTAGGTAACGCGCGTGCGCGGACAGAGCGTAACTGTTAGGCGCGCGCGGTGATAGGCCACGAGAGCTGACTCATGGCAGGCACCCGCCGAGGGTATAAAAGGACACCGCGCGCCTGACGATAAGCAGTTGACGATAGCAGTTGAGTTAAAAGTTAATAGTTAAGTTAAGGAGTCGAGCTGACGATAAGCAGTTGAGAGGAGAGTTGAGAAGAGAGTTAAGAGTTGACAGTTGAGGAGTAGAGGGTTTGTGTAGGGAGTTATTCAGGAACCTACTGATGTGTATTTCAGAGTTTAGCGAGTTACTCGTAACGTTGAGCGAGTAAACTATTGTCGGGAGATATATCCTGGAAAATATAACACCAGCGCCGAAACGAGTGAGTACGACTCAGAAAGCTCTTGAAAGACTGGGCTCCGTTTCGATTACCGAGTGCGTCAGTATGTATGCTAAGCCCCAATTCTTCGTGTGTTGAATAAACATTATTCAGCTCTTAAGTACATCTTTTGCTCTGCGCCTCATTCCTCCGCACGGTCTAACAGCGTCCAATCTTACCGCCGAGCGAAGGGTACGCCTGTAACCGTAGCCTCCCTCACAGCCCATCTCATCAGTCTTACACAACGCACGCGCGGAGAAAATCTTCCGCGGAAAGGGTACTACAACGCAGCGAATTACCACCGACGCAGCAAGCACTACCGCAGCGGATCGTTTTAGAGCGGCGATTCTACTGCGAGCTGCGAGCACCTTTCGGGGAGCAAACATCTGACACCGAAAAGTTCGGGGACGAAACATCGACGCCGAAAAAGTTGGGCGAGCGAAAACCTGCGGGCGCAGGCTCGCAGAGCAAGGCCGAAGCCGTTACAGAATTGTGCCGGTGAACGCAGGATGACCACGTAGCCATAGTGAGTTCGTCGACACAAGACGGGGGAATCATGAAGAAGAGTGAGCAACGAAGACACAATAGAGCGCTGGACAAACGACGAAGCGACGAACGCAGCAGAAACGAGCGCCCGATCACAGTGGTGGTTCCAGGAAAGACTCGAGAAGGTCGGGATTCGCCAACGCCGGCTACCGGCGCGCGGACTAGTGAGGCGACGGATGCCACCTACGATTCTCACCTGCCGACACTATCACCAGGGAAGATTTCAGACCGAAGTCAGCTGGCGGTGAGGCGCCGCGAAGAGTGCGCGGCCGACCCACGGTGACGTTTCGCACCCGGAGACGCCGAAAGGCAGGGGCGCGACTGAGCGCAGCGGAAAGAGGACCTGGACGGGTAGGGCACGAGGCTCGCTAACCACCCTCCACTGCTATCTCGGGCGAGGCCGAACAGGCAGGCGCACAAACGAGGAAGGCCGGCAGGCGGGGAATGCGCAGGGGGGGGGGGGGGGGGGGGGGGGGGGGGGGGGGGGGGGGGGGGGGGGGGGGGCGCTACCACGAGCTACCGCGACGCAAAGGGAGAGAAACGTCGAGAAACGTCGGGCCGAAGAAATCGGGCGCCGAACTTCGCCAGGAGGTTCGGCAGCCAGAGATGAGAGTTCGGCCGAAGCAAATTCGGGCGCGCCAACTTGGCCACGGAGGTTCGGAGAGAGAGAGCTTCGGCGAAGGAATTCGGGGCGCCGAAATTTTCTTCGCCGCCGAGAAAGTCGGCATGCGGGTGCCGACGCATAGGGGAGGCAGCAAGAGCGGAGGATCGGCAAGATGGGACGTCGCTACACTCGATCCTGCGCGCGTCAGCACGGAGACACCAGGCCTGCCGCCTGGACGAACCCTATCCACATACCCCCGCAGGGAACGGCCAAAGATGGAGCGAGCAGGATGAAGGTGCGGCCCTTTCACCGGTCGCTGACGTCACGCTCACAAAACCTTTCTGCAGAAGTTCGAAAAGCGGCGAACCTTCAAACGAATGGGAGAGGAGGCGCGGCGGCGCAGTTGGCCTGCTGCATGTGAGGGAGCAGCGGCAAGCTACTGCTCACCTGCCGGGACTACGCTAGATAAGGGGAGTCTGCGGGCAGCGGCTCGCGGCGGGGGGCGCTTGAAATCCTTCGCCGAGAAGCTCAACATCAGGAGCGTTGAGACGCAGACGGAGGAGCGCACACTGAGACTGGGAACCGCTATAGCCCAAGACCTCAAGCGACTACACGAGGTTAGCCGCTGCCGGGGGGCCCGAGGAAGATTGATCGTAATGGGGAGGCGCAGGCATAATACGACACGCGCAACACGCCATTCCGCCGTACGTTCAGGGACATTCGGGCGCAGACTGTTGAGTCAGCCGCGCTGTTTGCCGCTGAGTACGAGGCGTTGCAAGAAGAGAGGAACCCCCGAAAAACCGTACATCGCGCCGTTGTGATGCCTGAGATGTGGAGCCTCCGGGAGAAGAGAGGTCGGCGAGAGAAGAGGGCGACGAGAAGATAGCAGTCGTGGAGGCTGATGAAGAGATCGGCCCAGGTAGCCGGTGGACGTCGATGGAGTGAGAGAACTCCAACTGCTCGCCGAAGGTGATGAGGAGGCGTTATGAAAGGGAACGTGCCGTCGCTGGACGAGCGCCGAAGTCGAGAAAAAGAGAGAACGGCTACGACGGACGAGGAACGATGGGCACGGGCGGGCAATGAACCCGACCGATGCCCCTGATCGCATGCTATCTTCGCTGTGGACGAGCCGCGGTCATGTGCTGACGGGAGTGTCAATCGAATCCACAATCACGCCGGAGCCGGACCAAGTCGAACAGCCTAACTGGCTCGCGTGGTCGCGCGGCTGCGCCGGGAAGGAGAAGAGAACTTGCCGCCGACGGCTGCCGGGCGAAGGAGCCGCCGCCACCAGCGAGGTCGAATCGCGAGGAGGCCGACGGAAAAAACTAGGCGAGGCGGCTCGGAGACAGCCGACACTTCCGGCCGGAAGGCAGCTAGAAGGCGACAAAGAGAGAAGGAGGCGAGGTCGTGTTGACCAGCGTACAACCACGGAACGTCAATGGCATTTGACTGTCGAGGTGTGGCGGCCCACCCCTGTGGAATTCATGGTCGAGCAACCAGGAGGCCGACCACATTATGGATTGGGAGGTAATTCGAGGAGCTACGCCCGAGGAAAGCCAGACACCTGGAGAGAGCGTCGAAAAGCTATGTACGACGTAGCAAGACATATCACCGTTGCCGGGTTGGCCGGGGAAATCGCGGCCCGACGCTGATCATGGGGTATTTCCCACCGCCCACATGATTTTCGCTTGGAAGTGGACGTCGGCGAAGGAAGTATCGGGATCCCGGCATGGACATACTCGGCAGTCAGGAATTGTCAAGTCGATGTCGGCCGAGGATCCTGATTCAATCGAAGACGTATTGCACCTGCTGCCAC